GTACTTACAGAAGTGCGCAAATGGGTCTCATCGGTCAGTTCGGCTACCTGGTATTGTGGGCGGAGTACAGCATATTGCAGCAAGAAAAATAGCCGCAATAAATCCTGCGGAGATTTCCGACGAGACCAAACCAACTTACCAGCGATGGCTGTTATTTGGAGTCGTACAAGTCTTAAAGAATATACTGATTTGTACAATTCTAAACATAAGAGGTTATTCTATAAGCCAAATAGGCATGCAAATAATAGTAGTACTATTCCGAACCGAAGTCGAATACATGGTGTTCCAGATGTTTAAATCATATGCGTAAATCTGACTGTATCATCATTAAGATTCCCCTCGGCCTCCAAGTCTATCGCTGCTTTTACCACAGAGCTTATGGGTAGTTAATCGTTGCGGCATTATTTTCGTACGATTAAGAGAGTTCGGCTTGCATGCCAGATTAAACTGTGAACAACGCTTGATTGCTAGCTAATATGATTTTCTTTGAAGAACGAACTCGACTCTCGCTACTATGCTGGAGGTTCTTCATCCTTCTTCAACATTGGCAATCTCGCCGCTGCTATTGAGTCATGTCATGACATTATGGGTGTGACTCCTGTTGCTCAGGAACACGTGAGGTGGGATCCGACGCCATTTGGTGGGTAATATTTTTGTGTTGACAAATTTATTGAATGAATCGGATAAGAGGAAACTTATCGAACAAAGACTAGGATGCTTTCATCTTTACTAACTCTGCAAAGTGACCCCACTGTCAATCAAAGGCTGCAATTTTTAACAGAAAATCTCAACAAATTCTTCTTTTCGAAGAAGGGGGGGGGGGTGGTGATCACTTCTCCTACATACAGCTCTGTCAATTTATAATTGAAGTTATACTTATGGTCAGCAGGATCGCTCGTTAGCAGCTCTGATACTTCTTGCAGCATTTACGAACGCCAGTGGAAGCGTTCTCAGAAAGTAGTTCTTGTTTCAAATTTCAGTGGCACAATATTGATTAATCAGTCCCTATCATTGCATAATATATTCGGAGGAATAGAGTTGGATGAGGTTTCGTTCTTGTGCTTCTCGCCTTTATCACTTTGGAAAGCGGATCATTCCTGACGTTGAGGATAAGAGCATTAGGAGCGACTCATTTAACCCATTGCGGACCGCGTGCTGCACCATGTGCAGCACGCCACCACGCGGAGAAGGATAGTAATCTTCGATTTTTTCAGCATTTTGCTAAGTTACAAAATCAGCAGTTTACTTTTTCAGACACAGGATATATCATATATTTGCGTACTGGTTAAATTTTCGATAGATTATTGGCCACTGATAAAAGAGATGACAAAAACCTACGGAGGTGCAATTATAACGGCGGTCCGCAATGGGTTAAAGTCAATTTCCGCTAGAGGTAGGGGCAGTGTACTACGTCTACACATCCCATCCGCATCTTACCCAGCTTCCTTTTGCGCATGGTAATTGGTTTCTTTACCCTTCACTTCCTTTTCGTTCCCCTCCTTATGCAAAGATGTCCATCCAATGGCTCAAGCTAACTTCTTCTTTCCATTCGAGGCTGATTCACCCGAGCTTTTGAACAATAATGGGATGTGGAAAAAGTGGTGATATGTTCTACAAAAGGACGGCGAACCCAAAGGAATAGAGGCATGCCTCCCTGCGAACGGCGCACCCATTGCCGCGTAGGCAAACCCAACCGTGGCCACTGCCACAGGTGTTTTCCTCTTTATTTTGAGAGGGCGTTCATCTTGGGCTGCCATATCTTTAGTTTTTGTAGGTTAAGCGTATCAATGAAAATATAGGATATGCTGGCTTGATACGGGTTCAGCACATGAAAACGAGCTCGTCTTGGTCACTGGCTCGCCCAAAGTGAACATCAGTCGGAAAACGATCCATTTCTCAGCCCCGAGTCTTTTTTTCTCGAATTTTTCATGACCAGAGCATCTGCTACCACCTGTGATTTCATCTTCAATGGACAGCGTTTTTCGTTCAAACCGTCTTTGAATGAGACGATTGCGCGCCCTCAGCGCTCTTATCTCTGTAATTGACGTTAGCAAAGTATCAAGGAGTGGTTTTCCAATTCTACTATCACCCAAAATTCTGTACACTGCTGCGTTATATTCAGTGAAGAACCTAACATTTTAGGATGGTCTCCGCGACCAGAAGCTGCACTTGTGTTAGGACGAAGTCGCGCCGTCATCTATCCAGATCTTCTGCCTGGAGTGCAACCGGATCTCTTCGATTTCAACCACCAATTTTTCACTGCTGGAGAAGATCTCCTTCTAGCTCATGCGCTAGTACAATTTCGTCACCTTCCTCATTCGAGTTCTCAGGATCCCTTCGGACGGTATCTGATAAATATCCAATTAAATATACCCTCTACGATCGCATATGGTGGATGCGTGGCTTGAGTAGGAGTAATAATGAGTTAAAAAAAGAATATTTCCAGGTTATATTGGGTGCAGAGGATGCTGCTACCATGTAAAACGACAGCGCAAATTCGTAGTCATCTGAGAATTGCTCGTCAGCACTATGACGGCGAAGTTAACAATCGCAATCCGCTGTATCAAATAATAGTGGTGAGGCTTACCATTCATTGTCATCACAATGTGTAACACATGTATATTGCCCACACATAAAATTTGTGGTCAGCGCGGAACGTGATTTGTACCATTTTTCGTAGTTCCAGCCTTTGCGTGGAAGAGCAATCATATCTATTAACAGGTCGTCTTTACGAGGGTTGTCACTGGGGAGATCGAGGGAGAGGTTCGTATCTCAGAGTTTTTCGCAACGCCTAGCTTGATCCTGCTCCACATTCATTTTATCGTAGCATTCTCTTTTGGAGTAGAATTCCTATAAGTTCGAAGTCGAAGCAGGGGAAATATTCCTGATTGAGAGACAGGGGGCCTTCTGATGGTGCGGGACGTTCGCATTCCGCAGTGAAAAAATGCCTCTGGCGACCTAGTAGGGGCGTACCCGCGCCGATCGCCGCTGCACGCCCTTCTATGGTGGAGTCAACGGTCAAAGAAAGGGTTCCATTTTTCGGGTTCTTGGCCATTTTTCTTAGTTTTTTCTTCATCCCTGTATCAGTGTTACCTCTGCTGTGGACGGGTGCTACAACAACTTGATGTTGAAGAGAATGAAATCTGCTCTCTGCAAAGGGAGGCAAGGCCTCTAGAGGCTGAAACGTGGCTCAACGAGCATACTGCCATCAGCGGCTTAGCAAGGCTTACTGATGGTGGCCGCCGCCCCGTGGGGAGCCCCACCTCCAAGCTTTTCACTTCAAGCGATCGTGCCTTTTATTTTGTCTATGTTATGCGTTATTAATTGAACCATGTTTGTTTAATTATGCCGGCTGGCGGGGTTATATATCTGAACGAACTGCGCCTTTGTCTAACTCGTCTCTCTCTGACTACTTCTGCGCGGAAATTGACGTTTGCAACACATTCGTTTCATGTTGTTCATGCACATTCCATTGGTCTTTTCTTCACATTTGCACCATTTATCACCTCTACTTTCATTCCCACCGGCCAACGACCTAATCATGCCCACTGCGTTTAAAGGTTTGCCTTCACGGAGTCATCATTCTGTTGTAGGATTGGGGTATTTTTCTACTGGATGTATGAGCCAAACCCGAATGAAATGACGGTTTTTTTTTCTCTGAGCAGATATCACTTCTTTTGAAAAAAAAAACTTCATTTAGCAAGCGCTCCGGGGTGTCTGCCACTTGCGATTTCCCTTCCAACGACCAATTGCTCGATTTGAAACACTTCAAATGTGGCCTGATGAAGAGAGACCTATTTGGTACAATGTGAGTGCTTCCATTACTTTACCTTAGCTACACGGATGGTCTTTTCTCACGTGCGGTATGAAATGATTAAAATTTTTCGAAAAATGCAGCAGTTCTCCCTTTCAGAAGTTTCTGAAGCATTTCGTAACTATTGGTCCTACAATGGTTATGCCAGCCGCTGTTGTGAATGACGGTGTATTGGTATGGACGCCACCTGCAACTGTATGTGAAGTTGCTGTGCGTCACGAGGAACGATGCTCACCGGATCAACTAAAGGAACCTAATGGCATTTCAAGATCGTGTGTATCTTACGAGGTAACAATGTTAAGGTGTTTCTGTAAATAGCTGTTGACTTTACCCGAAAGATGCAATAACTTTTCCGCACCATTCAAGTTCATAGATAAATCGCAGAGATTTTTGCATAACCATTTGAGTTGAGTTGATTCTGTACCCATTTTTCCCGCATATGCTCTCATCTATGTACATAGGGACTGTGGTCTGAGATGGGTGAACGCGAAACAGTCTCCAAGTCTCCAGGCTTCAACATCGCCCGTTAGAAGACCATGATCTTCATGGTGCAGTTAATCGTTCTTGCATGAATAATCGTGACGGGGACTCTCTCAAAGCTTTGACCACTGAAAACTGTAGTCTGCGACACATTGCAGTGTTCACTGTAAGGTTGGGAGATTTTCTAGAATAGTCTGCCCGGAAACACCGATGATAAAACCATTTTCATCCTTTTATTGGCTGATGATGAGCAGAATTTTACTTTATTATGAAGTAACTTCGTGTTTTGTTCAGGTT